ACTCTCTTCTCCAAAGAGCAAGCCCCAGGGACCGGCTTGAGAAGACCTGCAGTAAGTCCCAGGGCTGCTCTGAAAGCACCTGGCAGAGCTCCTCTGTTCTTGTGTGCCAGAGTGTGCACAAAGCTCCAAAGGAGCTGGGCACTGATGGTGCCCCCGGAATTCTAAGTCATTTGTTGTGCTGCCCGATAGCCTCCTTAGGGTGTGACATTAACTTGTGATTACACCTGGGGCTGCTTTCATATCATTAGTCCCATTATTCCCAGGTATGCCTTTGGCTAATGCTTTGTTGATGGCAGTTTCTGGGAAGCAAATCGAGCCCTCGTTGGCCAGTGCCCAAGCTGGGCAGAGCCCGGCCAGCTCTGCCTGTCGTCAGCTGTGCAAGGGGCTGCCTTACCCTCCCAGGCTCCTGGCCCGCATCCAATCCCGATAAGAAATGACTGAAAATTGTTGCTGTTAGCCAGCTACTCTGTGACCTGCATGAAAAGAGTGAAATGACCTCGGGACTAGTCTCGGCACACAGCCGTCTGCCCCCAAACCGTGGCACCACAAAAGCCTTGGTGTACACACACCAAAGCTGGCAGGACAAGTATTTTCTTGGCGGCTGCTCCTCACGGATGGGAGGGGAGGCAGCAATAAGCTGAGCTCGACTCGCTGCCTGCTGCTCGTAACAAGATCTTTATGAGGTGTTAATGTAAATGTGAGTTGTTTTACATTGAAACCTATTGTGGGCTATTTTCTGCACGATGATCTGTGGCAAAGAGGGTATTTACTGGTGGTATCTTGTGGTGGTAGGAACAGGAGACAGACCTTTTTCCTTGGACTCTTATCTCCTGATGTTCTATTTTCTGTGCTGCTGGGCTCTGCTGAAGCCACTCTCCCTGCAAGGAGGACCAGCAGCGCCATTCTGCCATGGGGATGCTGCAGGGCATCCTCCTGCTTGCTTCCTAGGTATTCGTGTGGCGTACAAGCCTTCAAGCAGGCTTTTTAGTAGTACGTGAAGAAATTTGGAAGGAGTGTAGCCATGGAACCGAAGCTGAGGTTGCCCATGAGAGACAACATAATAATTTAAACACTACCGGGCAATGATGCACAGGACTGTTTTTACTGTGTACTAGGCTTTAAGTGCTTTGTGTAACAAGAAAAGCTTCAGTCTGAGTAACAAAAAAAGGCCAAGGAGGGGACCGTGGTTGAAAATTGAAGGGTTCTTTCAGCCTGGGTATGGGGACAGCTAATCTTGACACCATCCTGCAACTTGTTTCTGCTTTATTAGCCATGTCTGTGACCTGTGAAATGCTGCTTGGGAAAATGGGAACCCATCAGTGGATGGAGGTGTGAGAGGTACAGAAGTGTGCTTTGTATCTGCACATTGACAAGCGTATGCCCATGGAGCCCCCAGTTGTTTTGGTTTTTTTTCCTTAATTCTCAGAATTTCTCAGCATATTTTCTTCTTGCTGAATCTGACTGTCTGACTCTCCTGCAGCCCTGTACCTTAAGGCTGGGTTTGTGTCTTGCTGGGAGCTGGAGTTTCCATTTTAGGCACTGAGTTTCTAGCTGTACATCTAAAGAGAAATGATGTTCTCATCAGAGGCATTCCCCATCCCTGCCACAGGCGTTTCATGTAGCGGTTTAGGCAGGCACCCAGGCTTCCCGGAATCCCTCAGGGCAGCTCTTGGTTGATGGCAGCTAACTCAGACACTGAGGGTCCCATCACCAAGTGTAGCTGGCTCCTCCAAGCAGGAGAAGTACCTGGCTAAGAGACAGGTCTGCTGTTGCTCTTGCTGCTGCCAGGTGACTCTCATGGTCAGAGGGCTTTCATCTCCAAGTCTTTGAACTGGCATATATTTTGCATAAATGCAGTGGAGTTCTAGGTGTGAGTTTTTAGGGTCAGAAGTCTTCTCAACGTGGTCCAAGCAGTCTTCAGGTGGTGCTGAAGATGAGTGAGCTGGGCTGGCTGAAGGTAAACACTGCAACTGCCACAGAACCTTGCATCCTCCCTAATGCTTCCCTTAAAGGGTGGAATGATTCAGCATCCTTCTCTCTGGTGTAGCAGAGCTCTCTTCAGCAGCTTCATCTGAGAATCTGCTAATGACTTGTCACCATGACCATGGCTGGGGGAAGGAGTCCCTCTGTCCATCCTGTATTTCTAAAACACATACATCCTTTTCCCCTCAACTGTTTGGAAGACTCATAACCACTGCGGGGTTTTTAAAAATCGTACCTTCCTGATTTCCCTCTAGTTTTGACTGAAGCACTGACTGACAGCATTAAGGTAACTTGTGATGCTGACTAAGCTCTTTCCCCCCCGCTAATAATCGTATTGCTTAAGTGAAAATTGCTTACAGCTAATTTCTTGCCAATAGAGTTACACTTGATACTGCTTGAAAGTTGCTGCAATGGTATCTTAGGTGATCAGATGAACGTGGTAACAATGCTGGGAGTTATTGACTGAGAGCCAAACACTGGTTTTGGAAATACTAAAATGATCAGTGCACCTAAGGAAGGAAAACAAACACCCTGCCAAACAGTAGTAGCATGCTTTAAACAAAAGCATTCTACAATAATGGGACACTTGTGCAGACCAATGCAGTAGTCCCAATTTCTAAACTGCTTGGAAAAGATGACATGGTGTTGGTTTAGGCTGAGAATAAATATGTGGGAGTCTATATGAATTTATGTTTGGCTAACTTTTTGGATGTCATCTGTGAGGATGAAGCCCTTAAACTCTCTCTGGCAAAAGGTATCACATTACTCCCCCGTTCCACCAGCCCTCCCTGCTGCTGCCAAGCACAGCCCAGGTCAGCTTACAGCTCTCGCTCCTACCTGGGGTACTGTTGAAGAGCCATAAAGAGTATAAAACCTTTGTTAAGAACATAACATAGCTTATTATAAAACATTTAGTAGGCACTTGAATTCCCTGTGCTTTTTAAAGAGACTGTTTATTAGAGCAACTTTTTTAGGGAATGAACTTGAAGCACAATAACTATTTCTCTTGATTGCAGGCTCCTAAATTCTGTGTGCTCTTAGAGCCTTCATTTTCCCATGGCTTGTTTTGGAGGTTTGTTTTTTTTTTCCTCTTCGAATGGAATCATGTATGTGGAATACTCTTACAGATTTGGATTACAGAGCATCCACTGCAACTACTGAATCTGGAATTGCTGAGTGACACTCCTGAAAAATTTTACCTTCCCAGTATTAAGGCATCAGAGATTATACACAGGGTCCCTGTAAAGTAGGTCAATTTTAATAACCATTTATGCTTTTGTTCATTCAGCATATTCTACAGGCCAGCTCATTTTGCTCCATTCAACTCCTAACATCCACTAGAGCTCTTTAGGGGAATTAACAGTCTCTGCCATAGCTTTTCATGCCATCAGCCCTGTGTTTTGTTTCACAGTATTCTTACCTTAAAGACAGACTGCTTTTACCTCTGGCTCACCTCCCCTGAAGCAGGTCTTCAGCATGAACCCAAAAGTAATGGGCAGAGCTTACGAGTCTGACTATAGTTTCCAAGGAGCAATTCACATTTGCTTATTGCCTTTAGATAAAGACTCTCTACATGCAGCTCAAGTTAGAGTAGGAAAAGGTGGGACACTGTGGGTTACCTGTCATTTTTGAAGGACAACACTGATCTCAGAGGTGCTGCTCTGTTGAATAAAGGCACCCCAACCTACCTCCTGAGAGCTGCTGCCAGGACAAACAAACTTCAGATATCCACTTCCTCTTCACCTTCCCATGACTCTCTCATCATCCCAGGCAGGGCTAACACAGCCTCCTGCAGCTGCACCTTCTGCCCATTCAGGACAGGGGTTACCAGCACCCAGCCTGCCTCGTCTCCTATGTACATCTGCAGCTCCCTGCAGGACCTGCTCCAAGTGCTGAATTTATAAAACTTGAATGGGGGGAAAAAAGTAAGCCTGGAGATTATGCTATGCCGCTCCTTATCCCCTTCATGAAACCTGGTCCAGGGAGAACAGCCTCTCTGCTGTATTGCTCCTTACACCCCTCTCCCACCCCTTCAGGCCACAGTTAAGTCACCTTGGGCAGTTCTGGCAAATACACACGTATCTTAAAGCCCTGAAGCCATTTATAAATAGATTTTTATTTATAAAGTCAATTTACATAAAATATGATACTCTCTTAAAAACTGCATATGTACAACTTAAGAAATCCTAGCAAGTGCATACAAAAATGCCTTCAATACATTTTTTTAAAAAAAACTTCAGTTTTCAGAGAGGTGGACTTCACACCAGGCAAACTCAGACACCACGTTAAAACGCAACTTTACAGTCTTTCACCAAAGTGTTTGGAGAGAATAATTTTAAAAACCCCAAACAAACACCTTTTCATCTATACCGTGTATGTTCCCAAAACATTCCAGCTGGTAGTATTCAAGAACGAGTGGATAGGACCTGCTAAAAATAGAACCATCTCATCCCTTTTCTCTAAGGTTTTTTGTACAAAAATAAGTCTTCATACACCAGTGTCCCTATAGGCAGTTCAAGTTACATATAAAATAGAATCTGACATGATAAAAAATTCCCTCCCCCTCCAGAAACAAGGAAGCATCAAGTCTTTCTAATTTTTTTTTTTCTTTTTTTTTTTTTTTGTCCTTTTCCACCCCTCCAAAGCAACACCAGACAGCAGCGGCGGGGGGAAGCAGGTTCGCTCGGGCATCTTCTCCGTGGGTCGGCAGCTCCCAGCGGGCAGACGGAGCCGCTGCCTCGGCGCAAGGAGCGGGACCCCGCAGTCAGGTACCCCATTGCACTTTGCACAGCCAGAAGAACGACGGCTGAACCCGGCGAGCAAAGCCGGGGGGTCCCGCCGGGGTGCAGGTCAGTACTTTCGGGGGGGATGCTGCTGCCGCCGAGACCGCGGGTGCCGACGTGCTGCGGAGAGACGGGAGGAGAGCCCCGGTGGGTTCGTGCCCGGCTCCCCCGAGCGCCGGGGAAGGAAGCGGTGCTCCCTCCCTGCCTGCCGGCTGCCCCTCACCTCCCGCCGTGTCAGTAGCTCCCCAGCCAGCTGGTGAAGTCCAGCAGCTCCCGCTCCTCGGGGCTGAGCGCCGCGTCGTAGCCGCTCTCCTCGGAGGAGCACGGCGAGCCGGGCGCGGAGGAGGCGAAGGAGGGAGAAGCGGAGGAGTAGCCGCCGCCGCCGCCGCCAACCTCCCCGACGGCCACCCGCCCGCGGCCGTCGGGGAAAGAGGCGGCGGCGTCGTGCTCGTCGAGGAGCCGCTGCAGGGCGCGGATGTACTCGACGGCGGAGCGGAGGGTCTCCACCTTGCTCATCTTCTTGCTGGCGGCGCCGTGCGGGACGTGCTGGCGGAGGGCGGCGAAGCCCAGGTTGACGAGGCGCACGCGGTTGCGCTCCCGCTCGTTCCGACGGGCCACGGCGGCCGCCGCCGCCGCCCCGGTGCCCGGCAGGGCGGCGAAGGCCAGGCGGCGCTTGCAGCGCAGCAGCTCGGGGGAGGCGGGCCGCCGGCGGCCGCGGGCTGCGGCGGGGGGCAGCGGCGGCAGAGCCCCGCCGTTCATCGCCGGGCGGCCACGGTGGCGGCGAGTAGAAATAAAAAAAAAAAACAAAACAAAACAAAACAACGAACAACAAAAACTTTAAAAATTGAAACGAAAAAAATTTAAAATTCAGAACTAAATTCAAAGCGAGGCAAAGGAGGCGGGGGCGGGCAGCGCGGGGCAGTCCACCCCCATGCCCGTGCTCTCCCGCCGCCGCTCCGCTCCTCTGCGGCGAGTGCCGCTGCCGGCCGGCCCCTTATCAACGCGCCGCCGCCGCCGCCGCCGCCGCTCGCGGGGCCCCGCCGGCCGCACGCGCCGCGCACGCCGCGCCACGCGCGCCCGCCGCCGCCGCGCCCCCGCCCCCGCGCGCGCTCGGCGCGTGGCGCCGCCGGCACCCGGCGGCCGCCCCCCCCTCCCCTCACGCACACACACACCCACCCACACACGCGAACAGACTCCGCGCCCCAGCACCTCGGTCCCTGCCCCCTCAAATCACCTGCTGCCAGCCTCCCCTCAAATCACCGCCTCTGCCCGCGCAGTTTGGGACATTTTAATTCGGGTTTTATTGTTACACGGGGGTGGGGCCCTACTCTCGCCACGCCTTCCCCGCACCTCACTCGCGAGCAGCCGGCACTCCGTGCTGCTCTAGATGAGGTGCAGGCTGCGGGTGCTGTCCCTCCAGATGTGCCACCAAGCCGGCCCTCTCCGAGCCGAGAACCTCGCGGGTGCGGGTGAGGGGAAGGTGGAGGCCCCGGGTGCTGTCTCTTCAGATGTGCTCCCCAAATCGAGTACCTCGCGGGTGCCGGTGTGGGGAACATGGGAACCCGGGTGCTGTCCTTCCAGATGTGCCACCAAGCCGGCCCTCCCCGAACCGGGAACCTCGCGGGTGCCGGTGAGGGGAAGGCGGCGGCTGCTCCCAGGGCTTTCCGTGCGGAGCGGGGAGTGCCCGTACCTGGCTGCCGGTCCGTGCTTGCCTGACGGAGAGACGGGACACACCGGGGCTCTGCTTTGTTACGTCCACCAAAAATGTATAATAACAAAGATTCATAGTAATGGCGTGGGTCGTCTTACCAACGCCCTTCTCCACAGACCGGCTTTTTGGGCTTCAGTGGGAGTTTCAAGGATAAAGGCATGGAGGCAAGAAGGAAAATGCAAAGATTTGTAGCTCGGGGGTTGCAGCCCGGCTTCTCTGTGCCATTCCAAGCAATCCTCCTTGTCTCTCCATCAAGCAAGTCTTCTTCCGGCTCTGGTGGGAAGAGCAGCAGGGTAAGGTGCATTCAGATAGCTGGATGGAATGGGCAGGACAAAGAACCTTCCTCTTGGAGTCCTGGGAACTTGTGGGAAGAAATAACTAACATGGTGTTTTGCTAAATAAACGAGACGAGTGGAAGGGGAGCTACATCAACCCACTGCCCCAGGGCTGGGTCCACTCACGGCTTCAGCACAGCTTCAGGATGTGCTGTCCTCAGGGCTCTGCTCCTACCAAGTCTAAAAAAGAAAAAAAAAAAAAAAAAAAAGAAAGGAAAAAGAAAAAAGATCCAACGGTGTGAGGCAGTTCAGTTACACATAACCCAATGTCAGGAAAATGCTCCAAGCTGGCATCTTTGGCACATACTTGGTGTTGGGGATGTGTCATCACATGAACAGGTGCCAGGAAGGCTCTTCAGGACTATTTGGAAATCAAAGGGTCTGTATTCCCTTAGCTGCCCCAAACCACATTACTGCTGGTCTTCAGGTGTACCTAAGGCAAAAATGGTAGTTAAAAGAGCTATCTATGATTCCTTGATGTGACACGGAGGAGGCTTTTTTTGTACCTGTGTGGGGTATTTAGGGAGCAGCAAGGCTCCATTATGTTGAAGGAGAAATATTGTCCCTGGAGATTAGTTGCAGTGGCAGTGGCTTGAAGGAACCAGCCCCACTGCAGCGTCACAGGAGCCAAGCTGAAATTCCTGACAATAAGGAGCCTGTGAGCACTTTGATTTTCTGGTAGTCAAGCATGCAGGAGCCTTAGCACCCAAATTCAGCAGCTCCTGAGACATTCTTGGCTGTGCTGTAGACCTGGGGGCTAAGCAATGAGCAGCCCTACAGCTTCTCTGAAGGACTTGGCCCAAGAGGAACAGCTCATGGCATGCAGTGCAGGCAGGAGTGTTTTTCCTGGTGAATTCCCAGCAGCACAGGGGAGCTGCTTGTCCCTTGTTGGACAGACGGGTTTGCTCAGCTCAGGCCATGTTCTGCACTTGTCTCCAGCATCTGCAAAGCTGCCCTGGCTGGAGCAGGGAGCTTCCCTTGTGCTCACTGTCAGACATAGCTTAGTCAGTGGGGGCATTGCTGCAGTGGAGTAATACTAATGTTCTTTCATTACCTCCTCTCTAATTTCTGCTGAAAACCCTTCTCACAGGAAAGGGGAAGCTGCTGCCCTTGAAACTTTCAAGAGAAAGCCTTCTGTATCAAAGTTCCACACTCAAGAGTAATAACTGGATTTTTATCATACCAAAATAGCTACAGGGATTTTTTTTCATTAATAACGCACACCAGTAAACCCAGCCTCAAGGGAGAGCATGAAGCCTCCAGCCACAGAGATTCCACGCTCAGCTCAGGGATGAACTTGACCCATCCAAATTGGCTTCGGGGCTGCTGATCACGACAGTGGTTTCCAGCCAGATGTGGCCATTGGGTCTGGGCCTGAGCACAACACACAGCAAGTGCTTACACTTTCCTAGCAGTGCAGCTGGCTTCCCAACAGTCTGCAGGAAGGTAGGTAGGTAGGTAGGTACATTGTGGACACACACATTCAGAGAGCCACGGAATTACAGCTTGGAAATTCTTTTCAGGCCCGGATTTCTCCTGACTCTCAGCTCCATTCCCAGGCTGACAAGCTGACTGCAGCTTCAGTTAGGGAGGAAGTCTCCCAGGGTGATAACATGGTGACAAACAGAGTGGAATTCATAATAAAGATTAACACCTGGTGTCTTTCCCGTGGGATACATCCTGAGGTGCTGTCCCAAGGATGTTTTTCTCAATTGTCCAATGAACTACTGTCCTGTCCTAGCTGCACGTAACACACTTTAAATCCGGGCTGTCTGTAGAATAAATTGGCCTTTTTTCCCCCCAAAGAAGTCCATGTGTGTTGCTGTCTTTTCTCTCTCTTTGCAGTGCAGTAACCACAGTACATCTTGTACTCAGGGAAATGTAATCTCCTCTGAAATCTCTTTATAAAGTTAATGACTATGTAAAGATCCAGTAGAATGAGACATCATTAAACACTGTCTGTGTTCACAATCAACTTCCTGATCATAATCTGGGGAGGGAGAGCATCCAGCAATGTGCTACCCATCCCCAGAGAGTGGGGAGAAGAAATTCTCCTCTCCTGGAGCAGGTAAGGCAAAAATGATAACTGCATGGTTGGTGTGGACACCTTGCAGCTTCATGTAGCTTCAGCCACCATGCTGCAAGGTGGCCAAACGATGCTCAGGGAGAAGGGAAAAGGGTCTCTGCAAAGGGCCTCTACACTGCATGTTAGTTCTTGCACCTGCCAAAGGTGAGAGCAAAGCGCTGCCCCTGACTTGGCACATGTGTCAGCAGGAAGGCTGCAGGTGGGGTGCCAGGTCAGTTCTGGTGTCACCCATGCATTACAGACACCTGACATGAGCTTTTTAGGGTATTTTGCTGAAACTTTCTGGACTTCAGTGGAAAGCAATGGAGGTCCTGTTGCAATAAAGCTTGAGGGGATGAATGCCAGAAATAAAGGGTAATAGGCAGTGGAGCAGCCCTGTTCTTGGTGAGGCCATTTACCAGGCTGGGCTGTTCTCACACTGGTTTTGTCAGGAGCAGGGCTAGATGGGGCAAGGCTCACATTGTTCCTTCAGGTCTATCACCTTCACAGCTGGCTCCTGGGCAGTTATGATTTGCAATTAGATAGCATGTGAAAAACAAAAAATAATTTAATTTGAGTAGGGCAGTAGTGCTTTAGAGCTATGAGTACAGTTCTTTCACTTTCAGTGGAGAAAAGTTCATTTGAGTTTATTCTTTGAAGGAAACTCCCTGTCTTCAGCTTATGCTCTTTTCCAATGTAATCTTTCTCTGGCTTGATGAACTACTTTTAATAACTCTTCTGACATTTTATTTGCTCACCTATAATAATTTCAAATTGCCTGGGAATCACTAGAGGATTTCTGAGACACACTTTGAAAATAATAATAATAAGTAAAGATGTGGTTTGGAAATATTATGATTTCTCTCTGGTTTTGTGTCTTCCAGCCTTGTTTCCATTCACAGCAGAGTTGTATGGTGCATCTGAAGCTTGGCAAAACCCAGCACACCCCCTCCCCCCTTTCTCCTCTCTTTCCTTTCTTGAAAAGAGATGGCCCCGGGTTTAAAAGTTGATTTTTAGCTTTGATTGTGTGTATGTGCCATATGAATGCTAAGTAGCCTTTACAATGCATCCTTGTGATGTGCCCAGGAAGGCAGATGCAGGCTGTGAGGTCTCCCTGGCCTCCCATCATCCCTGTGGCTCGGTGCGGTTTGATATGGACATGTTTTATTTACGAGCGAGCTTTAGGGTGAATCCAGCCGTGTTACAGGCAGTAGCTGAGGGACTGAATGGGCTGAGCCACTGACACTTCTAAATCTGACACATTTGGAGCTGCTTGCTGCTGTGGAGGAGAGGTATTTTCCCCAATGGTGCTGTGGGCTGGGAAAGCAGGATGTTCCTGAGAGTCAGCAGGGACCTGGCACAGGTGTGTCCTGTCTGAATGACGGGTACAGACTTGGCTCCTGAGTGACATCCTCCTTCTTGCTTCCAGCCCATCCTTTCTCACGAGCATGAGTGCCCCAAAGCCAAGGGGGAAGTTTCTCTTCCCTGCTGCATTGACAGAGTTCAAGCAGCTGAGGCTGGGGTGCTGCAGTTCCATCACTTGTGGCTGCACGGATGGAGTGAGAGCCAGAAAAGCGGATGTCAAGAAAGCACCAGCATGAATTCAGCCTCTTCTCCTCCATTTGTTTTGAGTGTCCCAAGTTCAGCC